CCGCTACAAAAAATGGCTGGATTGAAGCTATTGTATTTCGCAGCTATTTTGAGCGTGGAAGATATATTCCTTGTGACAAAAGAGGATATCCTTAAAATATTACCAGCAAAATTTTTGCATTTAAATAAAGTACTTTCTCATTTTTTGGTATGTCATTACACCCTTCTGAAGTTATTTTGTTTTCAAAATTATGAAAATTACAAAAAAAATTAGAACTGTGTTCAGAAAAGCCTAGTAAATAAGTACACTTACCACGTAGTTCAACGCAAGAAAACTATATAAAACTATGCCCGGGAGACGCACTTGCCTCAAACTGACAGGGCAAGTGCGCTACTGTGATATTTAAGAGAGAAAAAATTATAATTAATAATCGTGAAAATCCACAGATTTGGAATCTTCCCTAAATAAAGATCATTGGCAAAGTACTTAATGCACTTATTCTCTTATTTGGCAGAAATAACCCAATTGAAGCATTGATACAATTAAAACCAAATATGATTAAAAGGGGACGCACTTCCCCCACCTTACCCTATTTGTATTATATATTTACGAAAAAGTTGGATTTGTTAAATCGCAAAAACTTGATAGAAAATTCATCTCTTAAAAAATATAAATCAAAATCAAACTTATTATGTAATTTAGTATAAAAGATAGTTACGATGCTAGGAAAATGACTTACAAGTGCTATAAGTCGACAATTTCAAGTAGTAAGGAAACCAACTGTTTCTTGCTTAATTTTCTTTATTCATCACTTCGTTTTTGACATTCTAATTAATTTTATCATGATAAACCTACTAACTGCCGAATCCCTAATTGGAATATTTAAGAGTGCAACACCACTTAGGTTTACTCGTAAGGCTTGTTAAGGCGTAGGTGTTTTTCGTATCTATCTCTGTCGATCCGTCGAAAAAGTGTTCGTAGGAGGATGTTGGAAATCAACACGATGTATATACGGCCTGTTTCTCTGATTCCGTTAACTAATCATGACAAAAGCAGATGCGACAAAATCGTTAATAAAATATCTTGAGAATTGAATAAGGCGATGAATTGGCCATACGGTGGACGTAAGTTTGTAGATATTTAAGCACATTAAAGGGGGATAAATAGCGTATTGAAGTAGAGATATGTTTATCACCTTGTTGAAGACTAGTTAATATGTTTTTGTTATTGAAAAATCACTCAAAATACTATCGAGTATACATGATCTTAAATCGTAAGTTATCGTTCATTAAAATGAGAAAAAACAAATAAAATAAGCTGCGATCTTTCTACTAAACAAAACAATTGGATTGATTTTAAAATTGACGAAAATATTAAAAAAATATCATGCTAGATGTACTGCTTATGAAATGGAAATACTTATTAAAATATTTCCAAGATGGCAGTTTTTTAGAGAAATTTAATTTATCGGGTGAAGTGAAGAAACACGAAACAATTATTGCAATTCTAGGCAGATTGTGTGAATAGAGTTCTCAAAAAACGTGTTTGCATTAATAATTTAAAAAGGCTTGTGCCGTCCCTGGACGTGTTCATTTAATCAGATTATGTATTTTTGAAATGTATTCAAACACGCTGATTCATCGTGAATGGATTATTTTTATCTTGTCCACGTTGTTTAATTTTTGGTGTACAAATTCAATAGTTGTAAATTTAACTGTATTGTAATTCCATGAGACACTATAAGCATTGTCTCTAGATAACTCTCCAGCGGTGGCCATGCTCCACTGATCTACTCATTTAGAGATAAACTTTAACATTTCTTGAGCCCGGTGGTCCATGAAGATTCTTTTGTCTGCATTTTCTGCTTTGTTTAGTTAGGCCGTGTTAAATTAGCAAAAAAATGAGGTGCTTAAAATATTTACCTACTAATTGAAATTATATTTTGTGACAGTTCTAATTGGTAGGTCCGCTACATATATATATATATATATATATATATATATATATATATATATATATATATATATATATATATATATATATATATATATATATATGAGGCGATTGTTTTAGAAACAACATATTTTGATTTTGTAGAAAACGCTTTGTAGAAAACGATTGACGCTCAATCGGATCACAACCCAGTGGTGGGTAAACTGGGAATCAAACTAAAACGTATAGAAGGAGAGCCTAACAAAACCAAGATAAACATTAGGAAATTAAAGGATCAGAACATTAAACAACAAGTATAGGAATCCTTAAGAAGAAACATTGGAAACTTGAGTGAATCCGCACAAGACGCAGTTGCTAAAATGGAAGAAATAAAAAGAGCTGTTGAAATGACAAACAAGACACTTCTGTTACAGGAGCGCGTAAAGAAGAAAGAATGGATGACAGATGAAATCCTTGATATGATGGAAGAAAGAAGACAACACAAATGCAAAAATCAAGTGAAGTATTAAGAAACAAGTCACAATATAAAAACAAAGATAAAGGAATCGAAGGAACGCTGGCTGAAGGAGAAATGCGTTGAAATCGAAGAGTGCTACAGAAGACATGACTACCACAACATGCACAAAAAGATCAAAGAATTAACAACTAAAAAGAAAACCAATAATCGCCACCCGACACTAATAGACGCAGACAGTAACCTTATATCAGACGACTTGAAGCTCATTGACACATGGAAAGATTACGTAGAACGACTTTTTAACGATAAACGCAGAGCGACAGTGGACCAAGATGACGACATGACTGGACCCGAAATACTAAGGTTTCAGACCTTAGTATTTCAGTGGAAAAAGCCATTTCATCGCTAAAAAATGACAAAACACCAGGTCCCGACAACATACAGGGCGAGATCATAAAACTCCTATGCGAAACGGATGACCACTTCCTCGATTTTCTGACAGGCCTTTTTAACACCTTTTACGACAAAGGGGAGACATGCACAAGGACGTCCACTTATGCTTCATCGACTTCTCCAAGGCGTTTGACAAGGTCAAACATGATAAACTCATGGAAATGCTCAGGAAGATGCATATTGATGGCAAGGATCTGCGCATAATAACCAGTCTCTATTGGAACCAAAGTGCTGAGATAAAGATGGGCAACTTACACAGTGGGAAGATAGATATTAAAAAGGGTGTACGACAGGGATGCGTCCTCTCGCCTCTCCTGTTCAATATATACTCTGAACAAATCTTCAGAGAAGCACTGGGAGAAGTTTCGGAGGGTATCAAAGTAAACGGAGAGGTAATCAATAATATTAGATATGCTGACGACACAGTTATTATCGCAAATGACTGCAACGAGCTTCAAAGACTCATGCAAAGCATACACACAGCAAATCAAGAATATGGTTTAGAACTCAATACAACCAAAACTAAATGCATGCTCATCAGCAGAACACAACAACCTCCGATGCAATTGACATTAAACAACCGAAAAATAGAACAAGTGGAGACGTACACATACCTTGGAACCACAGTCAACACAAAATGGGACCAGTCGACAGAAATAAGATCACAAATTGAAAAAGCACGAAACGCGTTGAACAATATGAAAAAGTGGTTCACAAGCAAAATCTCAATGGAACTAAAATTAAGACTGGTCAAGTGTTATGTCTTCCCGGTCTTGTTTTATGAAGCAGAGGCATGGACCACAACGAAAGCCACCCTGAAGAATCTAGAATCCTTTGAGCTGTGGATATATCGCCGTATTCTTCGGATATCCTGGACAGACCACATCACTAACGTGGAAGTAATGCAGAGAATAGGCAAAAGCAAAGAAATAATCTTCACCGTAAAGAAACGGAAGCTTGAGTACTTCGGACATGTCATGAGGCATACTAAGTACCGGCTGCTACAGTTAATAGTCCAAGGAAGAATCGACAGTAGAAGGGGACCGGGAAGAAGACGACACTCATGGATGCATAACCTGCGACAATGGTTCGGACTAACATCGACCGAACTGTTCAGAGGTGCCGTAAACAAAGTCAAAATAGCCTTGTTAATAGCCAACGTCCGAAACGGATAGGGCAAAGGAAGAAGAAGAAAATGAAAAAAACGCTCTCTCGAGTTTATTACCATATTTCGAAAAACTTTTAAATTGTACAGTGACGAATATAAGTTAAAAAAAGGTTTTCTGACTATTACTTCTTAGACAAAATCTCATGATATTAATAAAAAAACAAAAATCTTGGCCTTTGTTGTTTTTAAAAGAAAGAAAGAATAAAATAAAAGTAATGTTATAAACTTAAGTTTTTATTGAATTTGAAGTTACAAAAAGTAATTAGGATTCATCACAACCACTACTGTCGTCATCTTCATCGATTTCTAAGGCATCATTACTCTGTAGATCTTGTCGTGTAAAAATGCCTTCATAAAATCTTCGATTTTTTGCATTTCCTAAATACGGTAAGAGATCCCTTCAATTTTTCAGTTTAGCAGATGAAATTGGCACAGCTTACAAATAACTTGATGTGAGTTTTATTAAACTAGTTGTTGCTACTTTACTTCTGACAATAGAGGATCTCCATGGACGATTGTAGGTATTCTTCAACTTCACTACAGCAGTCTCTGCAGTAATTTCGAACATGCGCGCTAGTTTTAGAGAAATTGGAGGTTTAGCTGTTTTCAGAAAATATTGATCATTGGCTAGCTTCATGTCAAAAAACTTTGAGGGGTACATTTTGACTAAGGAAAATTTGGAGGGTTTACTTCGTGCTGACAATATCACTTTGTCCCACTCTTCAGGTGTCTCTACTCTTTTCAAATGGCGTTTCTTTTTTTCGATCAGTGCGAAGTCCTGGTCGTTTGAGAGATAGGAATGGCCACGAACCGGAAACAGGTACTTAATTGTGTCAAAAAGTTTAAGTACATGGACAAGAATAAATAAAAAGTGGAACATAACATAATTCTTGTTTTGCCCAGGATATCCATCACTTATTAGTACAAGATTCCTGGTCGTAAAGTTATTATTGTTAATAAAATGTAACAACATGGAACACACATCGTTGGCACCTTTCTTCGCTTGTCCTTCAGTGTAGGTGTAAAAAAATGCCTCATCTGTACCAAGATTGTGTATACGGAATACGTGGTACCACAACTGACGTGAATAAAAAACTGGATTTGATGGAATATAGGGAAGAGGTAGATTCTGCATGAAATCAAAGGTAATACAATCGATTTCTCCAGCCATAGCCTGTGTCTTTTGTATCTTCTTTTCCTTGTAAAAAATGCATCAGCCTTTCTTAAATGAATCTCCTTTTACATTGTTATTATTGTTATTTGGACTTTTTCTACATCGTTGATTCCTTCGGAAGTAAGTTTTTGTTGGAACGAATCACACTGATCACATTTATCGGATCGTGGGAAGCCAAACTTTATATTAAATTTGGATGTGAATATTTTCCAGTAGATTTTATAAGGGATATTGATCAGGTATTCAGATCGAAACATGGAATGCATGTCTTTTATTGTTAAACCTTCCGGCAGGTAAAAACGAAGTAGGTTTTTGCGTCGTGATTAATGGAATTGGCTTTGTTTAAAAGACTTGATATGTTCCTCTATTAAATGAATTACGGTATCTGAATATTTTCTTATCTTTTCCTCTTAAATCCCTTGGCGCCATACCTCGTGTGACCAAACGGTTTTGTATGCGTCTAAGTCTACCAACAGTTATACCATGAATGCCCAAAAATGACTCTCTATACAGACTTCTATTTCCTTTCCTTCATATCTTATTTTGAATGCATATCCTGCAGCATGTGGTTTTTCAGTACCCACATTTCTATTTCTCGGGCGGCGTCTATTTACTGGTTTTATAGTTATTAGACCAGAAATATGATTTTATATCTGTGTTAGATATCCTGTTAAATTTTACCACACCGACCATAAACTTTTACCTACACTGTATATATAAAATCATTCCCAGCTATGACAGGACTGCTTTTGTCGCGTTTTTGTATTTAATGATAAGAAGGGTGCAACTAAGAACACATCCTTTTAAAAGAACAGATATAGCGCGAATAGTAAAAGGACTAATTTGAACTAGTATATGTTTGAATCTTCCAAAAAAAGCAAATATAAATTTTTTTTATAATTAATTAAAACCAAAAGCGAAAATTATGTAACAATAAGTAAAAGGTTTCTTAAGGTCCTCATCTTAGATATTTTATAAAAATATAATACAGTTAGTTGTATGCATGAAATTTTAGAGATTTCAAGGTTGAAAGTTTTAGTAATCCGAACCTTTTTAATGATTTAAATAACTTTTTACTCTAATATCCGTTAAATTGTCTCTGTACCAACCGCGGATCTTCATTTTCCCGCATCGTCTATTAATTCCGATCAGATTGTTTCATTTTATTAATTTAAAGAAAAAAGTTTCAGATTTCAGCGGTAGGTAAAATTTCTATTACATTAATATTATCTGTATATAAAACAAAACAGCTAATCATAGTGAAGTCTTTAAAAACAAGTAATGTGGTCAGAACCGAAAATGGCGCCAAAAAACGTTGGTATTGATAATTCTACGTTTTTCTAATTATATACGAACTGGTCTGTAAAAATATCACAGTTCAAGCGTATCAAACACAAATTGGGATCCGGCCCTGAATGTCAAAGTCGACTTAATTCAAGCTCTACAAATTATATATAAAATATAAAATAGTTTTTAATAGAAAAAGTATAAATTTAAATAATTCAAAGTGATATATCAAAGAAGTTTACAGTGATTTGTTAAGTGCCGTAAGTACTTCTTTTCCAATTAATCATAGTTTGATTAGAAATATCACTTTTAAGCATCAATAACATATTCTCATCAATAATTGAGGCCATCCCCGGAAAAAAGGCCCATAAGCCTATGCGCCGTTTTTCACAGATCGTTTAAATCGATCTGCCATGATGTAAAGCTCATGTTGCCAAGTTTGGCAACAATTTCTCAAACCTGTGTCATTCGATAATCAAAATATTTAACTACAATTTTAACAAAGTTGTGTTCGCGTCCATTGTTCGTTTGCTTGTCTTTAACCTAAGTGTGTTTATTGAGATTTAAAAATGGATTCTGACGAAGAGGTAGTTAGACAAAAACTGACAAGATGTAAGAAGATTAATGTGACGCAAGAAAAAAAGGCAATCAGGTAAAATATAAGTCCTCTCGGCAGATCGCGATGTAGCAGCTAAGTCATTTCAGTTAATCATAAAATGTTGCCTGGACAAATGTTTTACCCGTCTGATCAAAAACATTTATTTCAACTTTTATTTACAAGCAAAGCCTCAACAGGACTGTTTGTTGGCTCAATGTATGAAAAAATCTTTTACGAGCGTATACATGGGAATATGTCGTGTCTCAAAAGGGTGACAGAATAAAAACATGTCGGACCATGATCCAAAAACTTTTTTAAGTATCTGTGAAGCACATTCGTGTTTCACAGATACTTAAAAAAAAGAAGGTATTTCAATTTTCTTTTTAGCTTCTTTAGAGAATCTTTTAATAGTAGACATAGGATAAGCACTTACATACGAACTGCACACATGAACGGCCTTGTTATCAAAGCACTTTACAGTGCAAGTTCTTTTTTCGTCAACCACTTTCTGCTGAAAATATTCTTCCCTTTTTTTTAAATTCCGCATCTGTTTGAAAATCACAACCTTGTAGACGATCTGCACTCAATGTTCCAAAAGATAGAATTCCTTTTTCGTGTCTTAAGTAGTGTACTAAACTAGGGTAACAGAAAAAAATATCACAAAGCATAATATACCAAATGTTTTTATCACTTTCCCGTTAATCCTCTAATGGGCAAAGTATCTAATAAGAAACAATTAGTATTTGTCCATATACCGGCTAATTTACCCAAGAAGATACTTATTCCATTTCCGTCAGTACCTGCTAATGTATATCCAAGCACACTAACTAAATTGTTGCTTACCTGGCAATGTGTCTTTCTTCTTCTTTGGATGCCGTGTCCGTATTCAGACGTTGGCCGTCATCATGTTTACAATTTCCTGAAACAATTTCTCTGTCGGCTGCTGCGCGAAATAATTCTTCTACTGTGAAACCACACCATTGTCTAATATTACGCAGCCATGAAAGTTTCTTTCGACCAATCCATCTCTTTCCTTCCACTTTTCCTTGTATTATTAGGTCCTCTAATTATATGGCCGAAGTATTCTGTTTTTCTCCTCTTTATGGTGTTTATGAGCAAACGTTCAGAATTGATCATTTGAAGAACATCTTCATTGGAAGTGTGCGAAACCCACGATATCTTTAGGATTCGTCTATAGCACCACATTTCGAATGCTTCTAACTTGTTTAGCAGTGTGGTTTTTAACGTCCATGTCTCACAACCATACAATAGGATCGACCACACATAACATGTATTAATATTAACATTAATATTATTTTATCCAATTATATGCTAAAGACCTAATTAACTATAATTATAGTTTACCAATCCATACAATAACTAATAACAAATAAAAAATTAATTTACCTACCGAATGACACAAACTAACACCTTGTTTGAAAGCCATTTTGAGCATGTCTACATAAAACACTCTCTGATTGGTGAAAATCTCTGTGTATGATATTCAAATTAATTTATTTGTTAGCCGAATGCTATATGGAGAGGGTACATTTAAAAGCTAGCGGTAAACTTACGTTTATGTAGAGGAAGTACATTTTAATAAATAACGTATCCTGGAGTACACACCGTCAAGTAAAGGGTTAAAAAGTATAATGTTTAAGTTACAAATGAAATTGATTACCTAGCAACGTAATGATGATGCGATGTCACCAGAAACTTTGTTTTCTAATTTCGAAATCGACGAGATGACGGCATCTTCGGCAGACCGTTCATAGGTATCTTGTCAATCAGTTAACATTATGTACAATCTTTTGTAACCATATGTAATTTAAAGGGTTTTTACCCTGATATTTTGGTGGCTCAGGCATGTTAATGTTAAGGGTTTTTAAATATACCCATTTACAAAAATCTAACCTCTTTTTTTGAAAATAATTAGTCATAAGTCATAATATATTTACAGTTTTATACGCCATAATATTTATTATCGTAACAATACGGATACTGAGAAAATATACACTGTTGCTCTATTTTAATGAACAGCGTAGCATATGATCTACGTAGTTACGTAGTTCAAGATATAATTCTTGATTCACCAGATTTTTCATATGTTTAGGAAAATATATTCAACGTTTTATTCCAAATATTTTCCACTTTTACAGTTTTATATATGTTGTTATTAAAATTGTGTTCGGTTTCTTACCGGTAGCTTTATTATAAGCTGGAACTTATTATTTTTTTCTATTGTGGCAAAACTCTATATTCAAAATTTTTCGAAAAATTTCTAGGATTTTATCTATATGTAATAAAATTGACAAAATTGTATGTTTGGTGTTCCCGCTTTATATTTGAAAAAAAAATAGTTTTTTTGAGTTTTTTCGAAAACGAAAACATGAAGTTTGCTCAAAATTTGTCAAAGTACTTCTAGTTATTACATATACCTTCTCAATTTGTTTCAAATTTTTTGAATTTGTAGTTTATATTTTGGGGGTGCAGATCAACCTTTTTTTTTTTTAACAAACTAAATGATGGTACAATGTAATGAAAAAGACCAGAAATATCTACTATACAACATAATTGTTGTAAAATTAATAAGATTAAAGTCAGTTGCAGAATACAGAATAAAGTTGCAGAAAAATGTAATATTTCTTGGATATGTATGCGTCACACCCTGTAAAGGTGTAATGTATTACTCCACTGCAATCTTTCCTTAATTACGGCGATTCATCAACTGTATTTTGAAACCACTTCTTCGGTACGCATTCGATATGTTTTTATCTGTGCGGTTTCAGTCCGTATCTGAATAATCTGCAAAAGATGCTAGTTGCTTGATGCTGTTGTAATGAATTTAACAATCTATTTAAAACGGTGTTGTTCGAGTTTCTCAATTACTGAGGTATATAAAACGAGAGTGCATCTTGCTAAGAATATTACTTCAATTTCAAGATTTGTTTTTATTTTGCAATTTTCTAGATTGTGTGAGTCACTGTACTCAGAATATTATCCCTTAGGCTGTCGCTTGATTTCTTTCCAGAAAGACAGGGACGAACGTCGTTTAAGTATTTT